AGTCTCCAGTAAACAGCTCACTGATTTTAATGATCCATTCAGAGTGAATCTCAAACAACTTACTGATTCAGCTGATCCATTCATAGTGAGTTTCCAGTAAACAATTTAGTGATTCAGCTGATTCATTCATAGAGCCTCTAGTAAACAGCTCACTAATTCAAATGATCCATTTAGATTGAATCTTTAGTAAACAACACACAGAATTAAAGAATTCATAAAAGAGTAAGTGTCCAGTAAACAATTCACTGAAGTTGGTTAACATTAAATTAAAATTACATAACTTAATAATCATGTATTTTAGCTGCTTTAACACATCATAGATATAAAACTTGAATGTGTAAATTCATTCTTATGTATATGTTAACACATTTTTTTTTAAATCGCATGTCTTTTTTATAGTCCTATTGTATGTTTATATTTATATAATATATATTATTTATATATGGATATATGTTGTGCACATTTAGTTTTTGTAATAAACTAGTGTATTTGCTAGATACTATATGCTTGTATATGCTGTATTGTATAACATTTTGCACACTATATAATAAATAATCATAATGAATAATCAGTATGACACGTTTTGGTAATACAATTTTCCAAAATTAACATTCGTCAATAAGCTATTTTAATACTTAAGTACATTAAAAATCAAGTATTTGTGTACTCTGACTCAAGTAAAATGAAAAATGAGAACTTTCTCATTTTACTAGAGTAAGATTTTATTTTGGAATCTGTACTTTTACTCAAGTGTATTTCATCCAGGTAAATGCACAACTGTTTAACTTCGTCTGCTTAAATCTCGACAACACAACTAAAGGATCCGTTCACTTCACAGAGAGATTGTTGCAACAACTCTTTAGTGTGAATCCAGAGAATCAACAGATATTTGTGTTTAAACATGTTAATGGATAAACCACTTGTTTATTAAAGAAGTGATCGTGTTTACTAGGCATTAACAATTGCAATTGAGTTGGAACGCCAACAGAACTCGATACTCCCAACTTTGTCCTTAATTCATCTGTCTGGCCAGGGGACAAAAACAATAATTGCTAGAAAAACGGCAGGGAACAAGTCAGGGAGTTTAAAGAAACAAGAGAGCAAGAGTGTTGATTTTAGCCAAGAAGAGTCTGGCTTTGTGATAAACAGAAGAGGCTGATATATAATTTGTGCATTTATGAGGCCTACAGATCAGGCGTAACAGTAGCTTACATCAGACTTGGGCACTACAGGCTGTAAATAACCATACTTAACCTTTATGTGCTTTAAATGCTCACAGAGACGCTTCAGAGAGAGATATAAAGATAGAAATCAGGGTCAGGATGGCGTCAACTTAAAATAGCACTTAACATTAAGTGTATAAATTATATTATATATGTTTAAAAACATAAGTATTTAACCTAATGATTATTATAATACTGATACTACTACTACTACTACTACTACTACTACTACTAATAATAATAATAATAATAATAATTTATAGTATATAATCCATTCATTTTCTTTTTGGCTTAGACCCTTTGTTAATTTGGGGTTGCCACAGCGGAATGAACCACCAACTTATCCAGCATATGTTTTACACAGTGAAAGCCCTTCCAGTTGCAACCCATCACTGGGAAACACCCATACATTAATTTACTCATGGGGGGAATATGGGGAAAACTGGATAACCCGGAAGAAACCCACGCTACCCCCTGCACCACAACGCCGCCATTTATAATAACAATTATAAAAAGAATAATAAGAAGAATAAGAATAATAAAGTATTTATATACAGAATACAAAAAAATAATATTTAAAATAATATTTAAAATAATAATAGTAATTTTTAATAATAGCATAATCATATTATATTATTTATAATTAATAAATGATTTAACTAAGTATTTTTAATTATTTTATTATTTTAATAATTCTATTATTATTATAAAATTGTTCAAATAATATTATATATATATATATATATATATATATATATATATATATATATATATATATATATATATATATATATATTTTTTTTTTTTTTTTTTAAATAATACAAATAATAATTATAACTTTTTAAATATTTTATATTGTTTATTTACATTTACATTTAATTGTAAATAATAAACATTAGATATGTGTAATATATTTAAACATAAATTATATATTAAATAGTATATAATACTTGTAAAAGAAGTATATAAAATATATAATATATTTAAAAACAGTATATAACCTAATAACTATTACGATACAGATAATAATAATAATAATAATAATAATAATATTTATAATAATAATAATAAAGCATTTCAAAAATGTTATATTTAAAATAATATTAATTATATTTAATAATAATATAATTATAATAAAATCATTTAAAATAATATTGAATATATAAAATTATATTTTAAATAAATAAAAAATGTACAAACTGATCATTCATAATCTTTTTTTTATTATTGTTCATTTATATTTATTTGTAAATAATAAATATATTAGATATGTGTAATGGTAACGGAGTGGGTCAGCCTCGGCTGGTTCAGTTGGCATTTCTGTGTAAAGTTTGCATGTTCTTCATGCGTCCTCTTGGGTTTCCTGAGGGTGCTCCGGTTTCTCCCACAATGTAAAGACATGCGGTACAGGTAATTTGGGTAGGCTAAATTGGCCGTAGTGTATGAGTGTGACTGAGTGTGTATGGATGTTTCCCAGAGATGGGTTGCACCTGGAAGGGCATCCACTGCGTTCAACATCTGCTGGATAAGCAGGCATTTCATTCTCCTGTGGTAACCACGGATTTAAGAAAATGAATGAATAAATGAATGAATGATATGAGTAATATATCTAATCAACAACATATACACACAGTATATAATAATAAAATACCATAATACCAAGTTCAATAGTATCAAGAGTACTGTAAAGAGCATCAAATATGAATTTTTCTATATAACACACTTTCAGTAATGTTAAATGTGGAATTGACAGATAAACATATTTAAAATGTATCAGTTTTATATTTTAAAAGTCATTAAACTTTAATTTTCTTAGATTAAAAATCCATTAATCAGTAATTAACCAAATCAAAACACCCAAGCAGCCCCACAAAGAAATAAGCTCGCCACTCACAACATGACAGCAAGTTAAGCAAAGACAAACAATGCTCTTTAAAAATCTTCAAAAGACGTTAAAGTCTAGTCAGAACATTTGTAGCTCAGCAGCAGCAGAAGAAGAAAGTGAAGACAGAAGGTTAGATAAAAAGACACATCTGTTTTAAGTCTTAGATCTGGATGTGTTAACCTGAGAACTACTGGAAAACTGTCCACTTTCCTCTTTTCCAAAAGTGGCAACGTGTCTGATTCAATATGGAGTTCTGTTTACTAATGGACGCTCAACGAAATCCCCAGCGGGAGGAAAGAACGGAATAGGATGTGTGATGTAATGGAACGTGCCGCATCTTCTGTCAATCACAGTGGGGTGGAGGGAGAAACAACAAAAAAAGAGAGACGAAAATAACAACAGTACTACCCCAAACCACCGAGGGGTAAGCAAAGCGCTGGAATGAAACACATATCAGACTTTCCTGTCTCCGTCTTTTGATCTCTTGCTCACTGGAAGTGCTCGGAGAAGACACTTTCAACAAAAGCTTGTGAAAAATTAATGCTCCAATTTCAACAAAGGAATGTCAGAAGCCGTTCCCGCAAATCTCTCTTTAAAAACACTTCTATGTATAATTAATAGAGCCAAAATGGTAATAAATGCCAAAAGGACAAAGGGGCAGCATTGAGTGAGAAGAGTGAGGCAGCTGGCAGGTTTTGACAGGCTTTATGGCTCTGCCGAGAAGGGTTTGTAAAACAAGACTCGTGAATGTCAAAGTCTTGCTAATTCCCCTCAAATTCGTCGCACTTTATGATTTAAAACAAATCCGCCCAGACTGCGAAAGAACACAACTTGAGCTCTGTGTACTCTCATAATCCAGACCACGACTGCATGTATTTCTGCTGTCGTCCAATAGAGGGAGGAGTGGACACAGCTGCCGGTGAAGCACACGCTGCGAGCTCCAGCCTGCACATTTCATGATTCCCAGAAATGTGTGTCAAAGCTTTGTTTATTGGGTATTTAATTAAAGTGAAGAGACTGTGTAATGTCGACGAGAGCCAGGCTCAGCGGGGCATCGCAGGAAGGCTCCGATAATCACTAGGCAAGAAACATCAGCAGTCTTTTCCACATCAACTCATTTTGTTTTTAAAAGAAATCACTACGGATATGGCTCACATTAAGCAGCACACTTAATAGAAGTCTCTTAATAAAAAACAGAAAGAGAGAAGAAGATGAATTGAAAGAAATGCAACACTTTTTGCTTTGATATACTTTCTTTTAGAGCTGTAAAATATTTAAGAATGTTATGACAATGTTATCTCATTTTTATGAGAAATGTTATAGTATGTTAAATTATGTGATATTTAATATGTAATGCAATATACAGTATATATATTTTAAGTCAGAACTATTAGAATTATTAGAATAATTATTTTTTCCCTAATTTCTGTTTAACTAAGAGCGCATTTTTTCAACATATTTCTGAACATAATCGTTTTAATAACTCATTTCCAATAACTGATTTATTTTATCTTTGCAATGATGACAGTACATAATATTTGACTAGATATTTTTCAAGACACTTCTATACAGCTTAAAGTGACATTTAAAGGCTTAACTGGGTTAATTAGGTTAACTAGGCAAGTTAGGGTAGTTAGGCAAGTTATTGTATAACGATGGTTTGTTTATTTACAAATAAATATTGTCAGATCATAACAAAGTATAAATCAATTAGTTGCTTATATATTTAGTTTTTTATGTAAATGTATAATTATTTTTTTATTTAAATGATTTATGACTGGTTTTATGTTCAACGATCGCAATTCTAAAAATGAAACCGTCAGTAAATCAGTAAATATTACCACTACTGACCTAGAATAAACACAATGACAATAAACATTTAATCAACTGACCTGCAGTCAAGCTTTTCCAGCTCAAAGTGTGGGTTGAAGTTTAAGACGATCCGCTGGGATGGTTCGGGCGCTGTGATCACCCATCTGCAATTCTGGTGAGGCGGGTACTCCAGCGGGTAACCAGGTGTAGTGATGTACCCTGCATCACTGGCATCAAAACTCCCACCACACGGTTCTGTGGAGATAAAATGTGAAATACGTGATTTGCCAGCACTGTGAAAAAAAGTTTGACTGCTTCAATCTGTGCAAACTTAATTACATTTTAACTTCAAACCAGTTCATTTGGACGGTCATTTTTCAAACTGACTGAAGTGATTTGGTACAAATTAATCAATATGACACAAATGATTCTGAGCGACTCAAAGGAAATAGCTGACCTCTGCAAGTCAATAAGTGAAGCAGTCACGACTTGACAACTAAAAGCCTCAATTCTGTGTCCCCACGTTCAGCACAAATCAACACAAGCTGGAAATTCAAAGAATCTCCTGTCTCTAGTGTCAAATGTGCCTGTCCAAGCTGTCATCTACCATACAACCGCATTACTATCAAGCAATCTGCAAACATTAAGACACAAGCTTCACCAGTATCTCCACAATAAAGAGTAAAAAAACACTCGATGACAAAGAACTAACTATTTAGTGACAGGAAGTGTGTCTGCATGAGGTCAAAGGTCAACCCAATGGTGCGGAGAACGGCCACAAAGACGCCTTTCTAAGTGGAAAGCGCATAGATAGTGCACTCATTCGCTCTTTCTCCCCTGTCTGTGTTTACCATTCTCTTCCCGAACAAGCCCTCGGCTCCCACAGCTCAAATAATTGATATGGCGCTCATTTATTATTGCTCTGATCGTAGTATTGAGGCACAGCTGTTTAACCTCTGCTAGCACGGTACAATGTCGGCGAGCAATGAACACACATGTTCGAGGAGAGGCGGCGTATGAATGTTTTAACGCGCACAGGCACTGAATGATTTAACTGAGCTTCGAGAAGTAGTCCAAAAAGGTACAGTGTGTTAAAGAATGTTTTTGTCCAGGAAATTATAGTTTGAAGGGTCCAATTATGTTATTTTATTAGATGGAGACAAAAATGGGAAAAATAGTTTATGTAATTAATAAATAATGATGGGGTATTAATTCTTTTCGAATAAATCAATGAACTGGAATAGGCATGGGCTGGTATAAGATTCAGACAGTATGTTAACCCCTGATAAAAACATCACGTTATTGTGATTACTGCTTTAAAATATACACTTTTTAAATGTCTGGGTAAAAAACAAAACCTTTTGTTTCCCTTTTGATCATAATATATTTTATTTTGAGAAACTTTTAAATATTTTGGAGCAGTAAACATGTCAGGCTAAATATTTCAAATGAATCATTCAGACTTCTGCTGTCTTCATTAGTTTCAAAAACATGGATTTTATTGCAATTTAAAACGACATCTCTGGATTTCTTTTGTCCTAAAAACTTAAAACGAAACCTTACATATGCCATATAATATGCTGTATAACAGAAAATTTTGCCAGTTTTAAAACCTTTACTTTTTCAAACCGTGGTATACCTTGAAACTGGTTATCGTCCCATGCCTGGACTGGAGTCAATTATTCTGCTTAAACTATGGTTACTACAACTAAAGTCATTGTCTATATGTACTATTTCACCACATTTCACGTCATTGAATTTTTTATTTAAACCACTGCTGTGTGTACGGATAGTTACTTATACTGTAATTTAGTCATTACCTGCCTGGAACTACTTTAATTTTTATATTTATCAGACAATACCTGCACACCTCAGTATGTCAATCAGCCAATTAGAATGCATTCAACAGCTTAGTCATTTAAAATATATTGGTAACACGTTATAGGTCACAATTGAGGGTATTAACAAACCGTTAACTAACACTACTAGCTTAATATACTACTAATTATCTGTTTATTAATAGTCAGTAAAGTAGAAGTTGGGTTTAGGTTTTGGGTAGGATTAGAGATGTACACTATCTGACAGAAGTCTTCTTGCCTATCCAAATTTTGAGAACAACAAATAACTTGACTTCTAGTTGATCATTTGGTATCAGAAGTGGCTTATATGAAAGGCAAAGGCCTCTATTTTACTTATTTTACTTACGCTTATTTTACCAACATAAAATATGATCATGTCTTGCTTTTTATTTATTTAATTAGGACAGTAAGGTTTGACTTTGCCTAAACAAAAGTCTTGTTATTTAACAGAAAAAATGTACAGTATAGAATATAAAGTCATAATGCAGTGGAAAAATAATTAATATTGTGTATGACTCTCATGATTTTGAACAGCTGCATCCATACATCTCTGCAATGACTCAAATCACTTATTAAAAAAGACATCTGGAATGGCAAAGAAAGCATTCTTGCTGGACTCCCAGAGTTCATCAAGATTCTTTGGATTCATCTTTAATGCCTTCTCCTTCATCTTACCCCAGACATGCTCAATAATGTTGAAGTCTGGTGACTGGGCAGGCCAATCTTGGAGCACCTTGACCTTCTTTGCTTTCAGGAACTTTCATGTGGAGGCTGAAGTATGAGGATCTGCTATCCTGCAGAAGAATTTGCCCTCTTTTGTGATTTGTAGTGTAATGGGCAGCACAAATGTCTTGATTGATACCTCAGGCTATTGATGTTAACATCCACTCTTCAGATCTTAGCAAACCAAAGGAACAACAATTGCTTGTAGATGAAAGCACAATCACCCAAAGCTTGATGAATCAATCCTGTGGTGCCGGATTGTGTGTGGTCCTGCTCATCTGTTACTGTACGCCAGCAGTGGCCAGGCAGGAACGGACACAGGCACGCATTTTGCTGCCGTTACTTGAAATTCACAACAAATACACCGCAACCGACATGCACAGAGCTGATGTTGTAGCGTCACACATAGCGGCCCAGTGGGGACGCTGGGAAGGAGTTCAGAGGAAGTGAAAGCTTTGATTGACAGTTTGAGGTCTGTGGCTGGTTTCCACAGCGCTTTCTGTGAACAATTACAACTCATCTGTATTGCATACTTGATCTCTCACACTCAGTCACCGACTTTTCTCACCGTCAGAAAACAAGATGGATGTGGTGGGATGCGACCTCTTCATACCTTGCGGATTTACGCCGCATGCAAAGCACACTGCAAGTAAACCAGACAAAATGCATCCTAATTCTGAAACAGAGCAGAGCACTCACCTTTGCTCTAACACAGTGACTTGTCAAATATTGAACAGGGCGACGACATGAGGTGTTCGCAACATAACAGAATTTCAAATTCAGAGTTTTTGGAAAGCTATGATGACAAGAGAGGTGTTAGACTGTACTTAACATGATGGACTGGACTTAAAGCCCAGTCATCTTTCGCTTTTTATACAGAACTCACAACAGAAAACATGACCACAGAAAAAAGTGTGTTTATAGTTTTAGAATAAAAACTGATCACATTTTTTTTATTTCCTTTTTCTGTTAAAAAACAAAATAAGTTATTTTAAACAATGTTGGCAACCTATAACCATTGACTTCCATAGTATTTGTTTTTCCCACTATGGTTAACTTCTATAGTATTTGTTTTTCCTACTATGGTTGACATTTCATAGTATTTGTTTTTCCTACTATCGTTAACCTCCATAGTATTTGTTTTTCCTACTATGGTTAACTTCCATAGTATTTGTTTTTGCTACTTTGGTTGACTTCCATAGTATTTGTTTTTCCTACTATGGTTGACTTACATGGTATTTGTTTTTCCAGCTATGGGTGTCAATGGTTAGGTATCTAAAGTTTTTTAAATTATTTACTTTTGTGTTTGGAACCACTTGAGGGTGAGTTAATAGTAATTTGTGTTGTTGATGTATTTGTGTATGACGTGTTTGACAGTTTCTGGTGTGCTGTGGTTTTACTAAAACAGTTTTTAGGATAAAACAATCTCTGTAGACTTTATAACTTTTTCCCATTCAGTGGATGTGTATCATAAAAAGTAACATAAAAAAAAGATTGACTTTGTTGAAAATTGAATTGATTGGCTTGAGCACATCGTTAATGCACAGATTTGATAATGCGTGTAGATTTCAAAGTACAATTAGTTAAAACGACACAATTATTAACTTTTTTGTTCAATCACCTTAAACTTGCAAAAACAATTATGTTAACTTAATCAATTTGTGTTGGGACCAATTAGTGTTGTGTAGATCACCTCAAAACAGTTGTATAGATTAGTGGTTCCCAAAGTGGGGGTCGTGAGACATTAAAGGGAGGGTCGCATGGTGATTTCCAAAATCTAATTAATTGTATTAAACCATTAGAACTACCATATGTTATCCATAACCTACTGAAGCTAAAAATTGTAGCTTATAGTTTCAGCCTTTTGATTTTTTTTTCTATTGGATTGGATTGCAACTCTTGGGTTGATTACATTGTATTAAAGATGCAGCATTAGCATCAAATGCAGCACATTGATTTTATGGCACCAGGTTAAACTTTCTGGCATTGTTATCTTAGTATATGTTTTTTTCTACTTTTCACATCAATGACTACAGGTATCTACATTTTAAAAAAAAAAAATTACTTTTGGGTTTGGAACAACTTGAGGATGAGTAAATAGTGAGTATTTATTTTAGACCTGCACAATATATCTTTTCAGAATCGATATCGCAATGCAATCATTTGCAATAGGCACATCTTGAGTACATGCAATGTTGAGTCTGAATTAAAATCGATCATTTCACAATTGTTTTTTGAGGTATGTGACTGTTTGAGGCTTTTAAATTTGTACCATTTATAACTTTGACAAATTAATAAAGATTCATTTTATTAAATTGTTTATTACCCGTTATTACCTGTTTAATATATAAAATGGTGATGCTAACATTATTTTATGCGATGTTGATGTATTTGTAAATGACATTTTTGACAGTTACTGGTGTTCTGTGCTTTTACTGGAATAGTTTTTAGGATAAAAACTCTGTATTTTCTATAACTCTGTATAGTCTATAACTTTTTCCCAGTCAGTGGGTTTGTATGATAAAACAGTAACAATAAAAAGATTGACTTTGTTGTAAATTTTATTGATTGGATTGAGCACATCGTTAATGCACTGATTGAGCAGATCAAGACCTTCAACACTCCTAAAGTGACAGTGGATAAATTTTAAAAATTTGGTCAGGCAAGGCCGTG